ATACGAAAGGTCCATAAACGAAAAAAAAAAAAAAAAACACAAGGAACAGTGCCATCTCACCCATCCAAACACATACACACATACACACTCTCTCTCCCCATCTCTTTACCACACGTTGCTGGCATTAAGTTCCTCACGAGTTGTAACGCGGCTCAAGACAATTGTGATATCATCTGCCTTTCCACCTTTCGCGTCCTTCGCACCGAACTTCTTCAGCATTGATGACCACGGTGTGTGGGCCTCTGCATCAATAGAGACTTTATACGCATCCTGCACTATGCGTTGGGCAACACGCTGTGGGTCCACGTAGGCAACCTTCTCATCAGCGAAGAAGGGGCTGAGAAAGAATCCAAGGATTGGAATACGTTCGAGTGCACTTGTGCTCACTTGGCCAATCCATCCTGCGTCGGATGCGAGTGTGGTGTTGAAGCGATTGTCAAATAAACCATCCGTTGCGGTGATGACCACATCGCCTTTTCGCACTGGGATCGTCTCGCGAGTGGCGTCCGCGACGGTGTCTGCGAAGGCACGACCCCGCAGCCGCGGCGGCAGCAGTGCGAGTTGAAACGGGGCGTTGAAGCCGTGAACTTTCTCGTGCACGCGATGGAGGACTTGGCGATCCCGCACCACCAACACACCGCTGTCGCCCACGTTGGCCACATCCAACAGCGCCTCATCCTTCTTGTTACTATCGTTATCGTTAAGGTTGTTGTTGTTGTTGTTGATGTTATTATTATTATTATCGCGGCGCAGGGTTACCACGCACGCTGTGCTGCTGCCGGCCCGCACACGTCCATCATTCACCACCTTATCAAAGGCGGACTGCAGAATCACTTCGGGATTTAACTCCGTACGGTGTGTCTCTGAGAAGAGTTTCGCGTTTTCCATCAGTGAGTTTGCAAACAGGGATGGATCCACGCCCTCATCACGCCAGCCACCCACACCATCGGCAACACCAACCACTTTGTATGTGTTGGAAACAAAGAAACTGTCCTCGCCGCAGTCCAATTCAATGAAACTCGCACGCTTCCGCCAAGCCACAGACTGACGCCGCTTCCGCTCCTCCACATCACTACGATAGTTTGCCGCAGGTGAGGGTTTCGCCTTGCAGAAGGCCCACGTCTGCAGCACAAGTTCATCAGCGGTCCTCTCATCTTCGGGGATATCCTCCGGTGGTAATCCCCACGAACTCGTGTCGTTCTCCGCCGCCTTTCGCATCTCTGGCGTTGCGAGTGTACTTTGCCTCCCTCCCATTACCGCCTGCGCAAATGAAAGGAAAGGAAAATAAAAGTCAACAACAACAATAATAAAAAAAAAAAA